GGTTGATAGCTCTGCGCCTCTTTTAACACGAACATCTATTACTGAGCGTCTTAGGTCAGACGATACGATTGTCAAATCGATCATCGACATCAGTGCACAAGCGTTCCTATACCAGGTATACTGATGTACTCCAATGCTCGAAGAATGTGTTCATAATTGTCAGCTCCTTGTTTGCACAAAACCGCAACAACTTCATGCCGGAAGGAGTCATGTTATTCCTCTAAACTGAATGCATAGACCTGTAAGAAGTTCAAAGCCTTAGTCTGGAGTAGCTTCAGTCGGAGGATTGCCAGTTTTCCGTTGGTTCTGGTGGTCAGGCTGGGCTCTACCATAGCACCACGCCGGCCTGATTGCGCGTCGACACTGAACAGAATAGCTTCCTCACGCAGAGGTTCAGAATTCCAAAGCCTTGGCGTTCGCTGACGAGAGTTCAACTGTGATGAACTGTTACCTTCTGCCTCACAAAGTAGTCCTGTTCTTTCAATTTCATGAAGATATGTTTCAATCTCCCATTATCGGTTTCGTTTCGGTGGAGCCTCTTCTGATGTGCTAAAATGGTATCGCGCTGTCTCCTCCTCAGAACGGGCAGCTACTACTTTGCATATTGATATCTTCCTCGTCATTGCGTCGACCTTCATCCGCCGTTGCTGTGCCGCTACCTCCTCCCCCCCCCACCAGTTGACAGAAGGCGATGAACAGGTTATGATGGCTGACTTTTCGCAGCCTGCCTTAGCCTTCCCCCCCCCGAGCAACCTGCGCGGCCCTTGGTAACCCGGACAGATATAATTTTCGATGACGGCAATACCATGAGGGGCAGATTGCTAAGTTTCGCGGATACATCGCCACGATCTCCAACCCTTCTCCTTTCTCATTCGGGCTTGAGTCCAGTTAAAGGAGGAGCTGACAAGCAAGAAATTTAACTCGCAATCGTAATGACAAAAGAAATCGATCTTACAAACGGAGACTCCACCTTTGACAAAGATCAACCTCCATGGATATTATGAAATTTCAGCGTTTTTCCAATCCACGTTTGTCAAACACTTCAAAAACAAACCAGGCTGTCATTAAAGGAAAAAACAAACAGAAAGCAAAAAGGGTGAAATGAGAAAATCTGATCTTCCTGCAGCCCCAAGTTCATAAAACAGTGGTTTTCTACCGTA